CAGTGGGTGTGGCTCTCAGGGCCAAAGCCTCATCAACTAAACATGGCTCTGAAACAACAGCTAAATACACCACCTGAGTACAGACATCCCGTTAGGCATTTGGGTGCAGACCCTGGTCAACAACGGCAAAGGGACTCAAGAGGAAAGGAGACAGAACATTTCTGTGCATCCTTCATCTGGGATGAACCCAGCAGAAGCCATACAGGGCCTCCCTCCCCCTGCCAGCAACAAGACCACTCCCTTTCTAACCACTGCTGCCGCTTCACTCAATGTGACAAAATCATTATAAGCAACCACAAAGGACAGAAGACTTATAGCTCAGACCCTGGCTTTAACAACAACAAAATCCTTTCCTCTTTAAAAGGCTGGAAAGGCAATCTGCTTTCGCAGCATGTTGGCCTAATCCCCAGCTTGTACTGTAAAGAGTAAAAAAGGTAAGCCCACTTTTGCAGTTACAGGGGAGAACAGATGCCATCCCTTTCCTGGAGAGCCTACACAAGGCACAGCTAAAATTTACCTGGCCCAGGAAATTTGGAATCGTGTAGGATCTTCGTGTAGTCAAAGTGTGAAACCTGGGGCTAATGTGCGTGGCAGACACACCTGTGTCCAGCACAGGAAGTATAAGTTCACCGCACAGAGATCCTGGGGACCCTCCCCTTGTCATACCCCCCCCCCCCCCCCCCACCCCCGGCCAGCTGGACCCGGGACAGTAACTGAGAGTCAAGAAGAACAGGGGCAAGGCGCAGCCACACAGGCGCGAGTACTCACAGGACCTGGCTGAGCTGGTGAAACTGCTCCAGGGCCTGGCGGCACCAGCACTGCTGTTTGTCGCTGCCGCATCCCGCACAGAGCGGGCTCTGCAGAAGCCGGTAGTACCGACGCCGGGCGTACCTGCTGTCCAATTCTCCCTCCAGTTCCGGGTCTGTGCCCCCTTCCCCCTTCCGCTTACTCTGCATGTACACTCTCAAAAAGCGGCCGTAGAGGCGCTGAATCATCTCCTGAAAGGTTCTGGGAGTGGAAAAGAACAGGACGCCCCTCAACGTGGTGTGGACTTTTTCCCGCAGCCCCTGAGCGCCTGCGCCCATCAGCAAGCCCAGGCGAGTCCATTTCTCCAGCAGCTCCAGACTATGCAGGTAGGGATCCAGCCGGCTCTCCAACAGGCCGAAAGCGTCAAGGAGAAGCAGAAGGCACTGAGGCTCGTCTGCATAGTTCTCACGCTGGGAGATGGTATTCCAGAACTCGAGGGAGATGTTGGCCTGCAGGTCGTTCTGCAGCACCTCTACAAACCACTCCTCCAGGACCGAATGCAGACCGTGGCCCCTCAAAACCTCCACCGCCGCCCGGAGCTCCTCCTCCTTTGGCGGCACCGCACCGCTGGTCCGGGAGGACGCCTGGAGTGAGGAAGGAACGCAGAGTGGAGGTGGGAAGGGCGGTGACAGGCGGGGACAAGCGGGGAAGGGACGGAGCGGAGGAGAAGCTGCAACCGACGCTGGGGAAGGGCTGCCCGGGGAGCCTAACGAACCCCAGGGTGGACGTCCCGGGAACCTTGCGCGGGTCCGCCGCCCTCTTCCGGGGCCTCACCAGTCCCAAGGCGGCCGGCGGCACCAGCCCGGTGCTCACGGTGTTCCAGGCCACCAACAGCTCCTGTGCAGGCCCGGAGTCGCCGTCGCGCACCGCCGCCGCCATCTGTGCGGCCCCCTAGCTTCCCAGAGCCACCAGGCGCGGCGCGCCGCGATGACGCACACGAGAGGCGCGCGGCGGTGACGTACCGGAGGGCGCGCTGTCCCAAGGCAGCGCGCAGGCGCGAGCGGCGATGCGGTAGCGGCGGTTGGAGTGGTCGCGGCCCCGGCGGCGACCATGACCCAGCAGGGCGCGGCGCTGCAGAATTACAACAACGAGCTGGTCAAGTGTGAGCGACCGCGCGGCGGGGTCCACCGGGCGGGCTGGGAGGGCGCGGGGCTCGCCGGCTTGCAGGCCCAGGAGGTAGCGGGCCCGCCGCGCGTGGCCGAGCGGGGTGCATGGTCCGTGCGTGGGGGTCTCGGCTCTGACGGCGCCGGAGGCCGTGCGGGCGTGCCGCACACACCTGGCGCTAGGTGTCCGCGGAGTGAGCGCAAGAACGGACCGCTGGAGCGCGCACTGCCTCCCCGGCACACCCCCGGTGGTCTGGTGCGGGGCTTTCCTTGACCCTAGAACCCCTGGGAGGTGGGACACCAGCCTGGCTCGGGTGGAAGGTGGCCCGGCCAGTACTGGGCCCTCCAGCACGCTTCTCTCGTAGCAGCCGGTGGGCTTCAGAGTGGGAGGGGTGCTGCGCTCCTTCCTGCCCTGGGTCCACAGCGCCTGCCCTCCGCTCGGCCCTCTTCCAGGCATCGAGGAGTTGTGCCAGAAGCGAGAGGAGTTGTGTCGGCAGATCCAGCAGGAGGAGGATGAGAAGCAGCGGCTGCAGAATGAGGTGAGGCAGCTGACGGAGAAACTGGCTCGAGTCAATGAGAACCTGGCGCGCAAGATTGCCTCTCGCAACGAGTTTGACCGGACCATCGCGGAGACAGAGGCAGCCTACCTAAAGGTGGGGCTCGCGGCACCTGGCGGGGTGGGCGGGGGGAGGGGGCTGCATGCCGGCCGGACCTGACCTAGCCTGGCTTCCCAGGGTGCGAGGAAGGGGCTTTGGGCTAGACTCAGGGGAAAGGGGCCCTGCTGACCCTGTCCGACCCTCCCTCAGGGGCTTCCTCTCCGTGCTTCTGCCCCAGGGGCTGGCGCTGGCCTGGTGGGAGCTTCCTGACGGTGGAACGGTGGTGACCATCACACGTCTGTTTGCAGATCCTCGAGAGCTCGCAGACTTTGCTCAGTGTCCTGAAGAGGGAAGCTGGGAACTTGACCAAGGCCACAGCCTCAGAGCAGAAGAGTGGCGGTGGGGGCAAGGACAGCTGACCAGCTGCAGGCGGTAGGGGCCTGCCCCCCCGGCACCTGTCAACAGCTGGGCCTCCAATAATCTGTCTTCAGCGTGTCTTTGCTCTTCATGGTAGCAGTTGCCTCCTTTCATTGTCTTGGGTACCAAGAGGCTGTTGCCAAGCTCCACCCACCCCAGGTGATGAGGACAGCCTGGGCACAGCCCACCAGGTAGGGGTCCTGGCCCTGCAGGATTTGGTGAGGCCAGGCTCTGGGTCACTCCTGCTCAGGGCCTGAGGACCCCACATCCCCCTGTGCTGCTGGTAAAGCCCTGCTCCCTAGTCTCAGCACCATGGCAGTGCGCTCACTGTGGTGCCCAGGCCAGGGGAGTGGGCGAGGGGCTGGGGCCCTCCCACCTTGGAGCTTGCTCTCGTAGCCTATGACTGTCAATAAAGATTGTAAAGATACCCTACTGCCTATGGTCTGTGTTTTGAGTGTAGGACTGCTGGACATCTCCAGAATCGGTATGAGCCGCTGCCCAGCTGTGGTACGGCTCCTCCTCGGGAGAGGAAAGCCTGGAGCGGCTTTTCCTATAACAAGACTTGTTGGCTTTGAAGACAGAGTTGAGGGTACCTTTGAGCATCTCCTGTGACCTTGTCATCCATTCTTTCTCCCCACCAGGGCTGCTGGCCTCTCTCCCCCAACTCCACTTAGACTACCCTTTGGGAGGTGGTCTGCTTATTGGTCCTGGTCTGTGTCATGCCCTATGACCAGCACAAGGCCTGGCCCAGGGAGACACGCTCTCGGCACAGGGCCTCCAGACAGGGCTGCCACCCCCCAGCTCCAGGATTCTGAACTTAGCCCAGTGGCTCCGCTGCTTCCCACTGTCCCTGGTCACACTAAGCACACACGCTTCCAGCTTTCCACGCTGCCTGGGGCCCAGTCCTCCATCCCGAGTCCTCTCTGCGACCGTCTGCTGGCCTGTCAGCCCCTATGGGGTCCCTACGACTACCGCTTGGAGAGGTTAGGCAGGTTTGGGAAGCATGTATTGCTTGAGAGGGTCTGGAAAAACCCGGGCCCACCGTGCCCAGAAAAACAGCTGGGCCTCCAGGCATTAACTAAAAACACCCTCCTCCTTCCCAAGCTTGGCCAGGCAGCATTCCTCATGGGGTTGACTCTTCAGGGGGGATACACTTGTGTTCAGTGCCTGGACTGTAAACAGCCCCAGCTCCCCGGCTCCAGGCTGCTGCTGAGCAGGCGGCTCTGCATCTCCCATTACCGCTCGGGATCTGCTGGGTCTGCCTGCCAGCCGCTAGCACCGACCCCAGGGAAGTAGTCTGCCTGCCACAACCTTGCTGCAGGTTCCTGTGGGTCAGGTAGCTTTCTAAGCCACACAGGAGGCTCTGCTCACCCCCTGCCCGCTCCTCGTCCCCTCCCAAGCACTCCCATCCTGCCAGAGTGCCAGACCCCAGAGAGCAAGCCTGAAGTGCCCCTCCCACCACAGTTCCCACTATGTCAGCCCTGGATGGGAGGGGGCGGCCCCAAAGGCCAGAAGTGCTCACAGGAAGGTCCCTCTCCCAGACAAAGGGGTGATAGGGAGTGAACGCCTGGACCACCAGGATTGTCATGTGTGGGGGTGCCACACAGGGCCACCCCCATACCTGGGCACAGACGTCCTATCCAGGCTCCCACGTACCCTCCTCCCCGCTGCCAGGGCCTCAAGGGAGCCCCCCAGACCCCAGCCCTGCTCCCTGCTTCTCCGGCCAAGGAGCACACAGTAAGGCAGAAGTGGCCTTGTCCAGTGCTATTTATTGAATCCATCAAACGCAAGAAAAGACTTGCCATTCATCACAAAGGGAGTGAGTGGGTTGAGGTCGGCTGCTGGGGGGTTATGGGCTGGGAATGGCTTGAAGCCCCACAGAGGACAGGCAGCCAAGCTGGCCCTTCACACACATCAGACAGCTGCCGGGCATGGTGTCCAGCAGGACCCTGTCCGTCCTCCATAGGCAGTGCCCCCAAATCAGGGCTGGAGAGCAAGACTCAGCCCCAGGGGAGGCTGGAGCCCCCAGGGCCCTAGGCTCAGGCCGAGCACCAGCACAGCTGTGAGGCCCCAGGAAGGGAGGGTGGGATATGGCAGGGCAGAGCCTGGCAGGGCAGAAGGGGGTTGCAGAACGGGGCAGGGCTCCTGGGCACTGCCCGGCTCCCAGGGCTCAGCCTTGGCCATCCTGGCAGGGCCACGGTCAGAAATAGAGAGCCGGCTCGCTGCGGAAGTCTGAGAGGTCGTTCTGACTGGCAGGGGTGAGCTGAGAGAGAGGGACACAGAGGGAGCGGATGGGGCTCATCCAGGCATTAGAGACCCACCCCACCCCCCACCCGTCCTGTGTCTCCCCTCCTCGTCCCGCCCCTACTCACCATGACCTCCTTTGGTGCGGGCTCCGCCTCACTTGGAGCCTGCTCCAGCGTCTGCCCCTGCCATTTACCGAAGGCCATGGAGTGCTTTGGAGTGTAGCTGGACAGGCCTGTGGGCCGGGAGGCGCACATGTGGATGTGTGGCCCAGCGACCCACTGGGCCACCCGTTCCAACAGGCGGGCACTCACCTGAGCTGCCATCCGGCAGATGAGGGCTCTCAGGCCCCACACTGTTCACAAAAGTGGCTCGGGGCAGGAAGAGTGCAAAGGGCTTCTCCACCACCCCCTCTGAGCTGGACTCCGCCTCCTCGGTCTCCTCGGCCTCCTCGGCCTCCTCAGCCTCCTCTGCCCCCTCCTGGGCCTCAGCCTCCTCCTCCTGCACCAGGGAGCTCTCAGGAGGGTACTCAAACGTGGTCTGCAGGCGCTTGTCATTGAAGGAGATCTTCATCTACGGGCAGGAGGCACATCAGCGGGGCCCTGCTGCCTAGCCACCAGCGGGACTTAAGCCCGACCAAGCTGGGCCCAGTGACCCCAAAGAACATGGTAGGGGTTGTCGGGCCCAGGCAGGTAGCACAGCACGCCATCAACCCTTCAGGAGCTGAAAGGTGAAGGAGCTGCCCCTCATCAGAGACAACTCCTTTACCTGTACCCTGTAGGCCCGTGCCAGAAGGACCCCAGGAAGACTGGGTCTGGATGCCCATGGCAACGCAGGGCCAGTGTGTCTAAACACCTGCATCCCAGGCCCCACCCATCGCTTCCCACCCCGGGCCCAGGGTCAAGTCACCTCGAGTAGCCTACCCCTCCCAGGACCAGATCGAAGCCAGCAGGAGCCCAAAGCCTCAGGGTCTCCAGAAGCTTCTGTGGCAGCTCCAGGGAAGGAGCAGGGTCCAGGTGGACCGTACTTTGGGGGGCCCCCATACTGGGAGGCCCTACCTTCTTAGCTACCAGCAGTTCCGCTGTCAGCTGGGGCCTCTCTCCAGGACTGAGTTCACATGTTGGCTGGCTAGCCACCTGAATGAGGCTGCCTGCATAGCTCAGCACCGACACCGCTGCTGGGCAAGGACCAGGCACACCCAAGCCCCAGGGTCACCGCAAGGTGACAAAGCAGGGTGGCTGGCACACCTAAGCCCCAGGAAGGTGGCACCAAGGGCCATCACCCTGTTTCACAGACTGAGTCAGCGTTAGAGCAAAGCTGCTCCCAGTGGGGGTTGTGGGGACCCTCTCCTCCCACCTGGACTACCCATGTGGCCCGAGTCCACCCTGTCCACTCCGCAGACTACAGAATCTCATGCCTGAGCAAATCCTCTCCTTTCCCAACGGCCTCAGAGTCCAGCAGGCTGCTGGTTCTGAGAGGAAGCGGGGTCAGGAACGAGCAGGACAGCAGGCAGACCCTTGCCCTCCTTGACGCAGGACTCCCCTCCCCAGCCACAGGCCCCCCGGGCTTGCTCAGCAGGGCTCAGCCAGGCCCGGCAGGTTGGTAATGAATCTGAGAGCCACCAGCCTGCAGCAGATGGGAGCAGCCCTACAGGAGCTCGAAACATTAAACTCCCGAGCACAGGACACCAGCAGCCAGCTCAAGTTCCTCCTTCTCCCTTGGAAGGAGCCGGAGTCAGGAGCTGGGCCCCCAGGCAAAGCACCATGGGACCTGGGGACAGCAGAACAGCCTGGGCAGCAGAGGGACCCCCCGGCACTGGTCTCAGAGGGCAATTCCAGGCTGAGCCACTGTCCAGAAACAAGGGCACCTGTTCCTGGCACCCTACCATGCTCCTCCCACAACCACCCGTGCACACACGGCCCCCATGGCCGTGGGGATCCCCATCTCAGCATGGTGCACACACAGACATCCGCTGGGCAAATCTCAGGCCCAGGCCCCGGCCGGCTGCACATATGAGTGGTCACGGATAAGAGCAGACCATCTGAGTCAGGCAAAACCAAGAGCAAAATACTTGCTCCTGTCACTTGAAGGCGCACTGTCCCTACCTGCGCTGCCCTGCCCCCACACAGGCCCGCCCCAGCCCTCCAGCTGCCCCCGCCCACCCAGGCCTAGCAGGACAGAAGCCTAAGCAGGATGGGACTGCCAACCCAGGGGCCTCCCCCTGCCCCAAGGCCCCACAGTGAACAGGGCTTCCAGTCACCCCTGGGCCCTCCAGGCCCATCCCCCACCACTGAAGACAAAGGAAGGGCTGGCTGCCAGGGACCTGCCAGATTAGCGTGCCCTCATTAGTCCACATGACCAGCTCCTAGTAGGGAGACTGAGGGGGCTGGGCAGACATGGGGCACTGAGCCTGGCACAGCCTGGCCAGGCAGGGGCGGGGCGGTGCTCCCAGGCCACTGTCTGCGCCCAGCTGGGGCCCCGGGCTTGGGGTCACATCCCACCTCCCCTTCAGTCTCCACACTCTACAGCCCGGTGGGGCTCACAGGCCTCCTTGTGGGTGCAGGTCTCTGGGTCACAGGACACCCTGTGACGAACGCTGCTGGGAAGGGGCCAGCCTCTAGCCCTGGGCAGATGAGCCGGGAGTGGCCAGGGGCTGGCACTCGCGCACACCTGGCTCGGGGGGGAGGGGTGGACTTTGCCCGCTGCGCCAAGTGTGGCCGGCAGGTGTTTCCTGGCTTGGCCCACCTCCCAGCTCCCACAGGCCCTTTGCCCCCCTCACCCTGCCCTGCCTGTGCACACCCAGTTTGGGTTACTGAAGGGCGTCCACCCTGGACTCTGGTCTGGGAGCTGGGTTCAACCAGCCCGTGCTGGTGGTGAGCCCCCGCCCTGCCCTCGCTCCCATCCCCTACTTAGTCTGCACTCTGGGGCACAACAGGACCACCCCACACAGCCTCTGCCAAAGCTCCCACAGCTGCTTCCTGATGCCCCCAGTCAAGTGCAGCACCAGCCCAGGGCAGACCCTCTGCCAGTGGGGAAGCTGGTGGAGCAGGGTCCAGCCTGCTCTCATGGCACCGAGCTTTAGAGAGCCCACATGGGGGCGGAGGGGCACCTGCAGAAGACCTGGGGGAGGGGGAAGGGTGGGGTGGGGGGCAGAGAAGAGACACAGCCAGGACGCCTGGAGGTGGGAGGGTGCGGAAGAGCAGGTGGGGAAGCAGGCCCCCGAGGGCAGCTATGACTGCACTACAGCTCCGAGCGCGGGAGCGAGGCTGAGGGCCACGACCCGGCCGGCAAAACCGGGGTGTCGGGGTGGCGCTTACACCACAGGTGAGGGCAGATGGCCTAGGGTGTCGCTGACACACTCAGGCTGCGCAGAGAACCAGCACGGAAGGAGTGAGGAGGGCAAAGGGGAGGGGAGGAAGTCCTCAGACGTGCAGGAGCCTGGCCAGGCGGCACCTCACAAAGGGGAGAGGCCCACAGCACCAACCCAACAACCCTGTGGGAGGCGGGTGAGGAGAGCGGCTGGAGAGTCCCACCAACCACCGCCTGGGGGCCGGAGCAGAGGTGAGACGGGGCATGGCAACCATGCCCCACAGCAGCTAGCCCCTGCCTGGCTGTCAGGGGAGGGACAGATAGGACATCTGCAATTCTGGCCAGAGACAGCCAAGTGGGGACAGGTCCCCCCAGGCAGGCCTCCCAGGTTACACTGTCGGCTGGGCGCCCCCACCACCCTGGACAGGGCTCTAGCCCTCCGAGGCACACACAGACCTGCCGGCTCAGGGGCAGGCTGCCCGGGAGAGCCATACCTCACCTGCCGCCTGGGAAAGGCCCCAGCCCCTCCCACCACTACCCCAGTCAGCCAGCCGTGCAGGGGTCAAGGTGAGCAGTGGGCCCCAAGGTCCCCAGTCGGGAGGGGGGTGAGCAGGACAATGATCCAAACCACAGGCTGGCTGGAGTGCTCCAGCAGCCCAGGGTCCGGAGGAATAGCGGGAGCAATGCCCAGGGGCTACAGTCAGGAGGAACTCCAGGGAATGCAGACTGCTCTGAAGGCCGGGCGGACCCACGCCTCTGCCCCACGCAACAGGAGTTCTGGCTCTTCCTGGGCAGGGCAGCTGGTGCAGGGGGTGGGGCAGTGCTCACAAGCCAGAAGTCACCTCCGATAGACCGTGCTGCTCTGGCAAGGGCTAGCTTGGCCGCTTGGCCCTGCCAGGCAATCCATCTGGACCCCCAACGCCCTCAGGCTGGCATAGAGATCAGGGCCAGGTTGGTCTGAACTGCTCTCCACTCTGGGCCAGGGCCTGCTTCCTCCCATCACCTCCTCCCGCCCTTCTCACCCCAACCCTGCCACAAGTGACCCCCACAGCGCTTTCCCCAGCAGGGGTAGGAAGGAGTAGGGGCTCTAGAAACAGAAACTAGCACTCAATTCCTGCCCCACGACCTCCAGCCACCCTTAGGTTCCTCATCCACAAAGTGGGGGGCTGTTATCACCTCCGCTTCTTGGGGCCAGCATGGAAAGGTACTGCCTCCCGGTTCAGGGTCAACAGTCAGGGAGCGGGAGTGGGGAGGTAGGGCTGAGGACCACGGCAAAGGGCAGGAGCGAAGGTGGGAGGGCTGTGGCCCAAAGCACTGAAGAGAGGGTGAGTCAAGGTCAGGCAGGATGGACCCACCGGAAGTACAAAGGCAGGTGGGTGTGGATGCGTGTCCCAGCAGATGGAGTGGGCGGGAGCACCAATGCCCTCACCCAAGGAGGAGGGAAGGACACATGGAGGAAGAGCAGTGCAAGGCCAACCCACGGCAAACAGAGGGAGGAGGTGGCTCACGCGATTAGACAACCAGCAGGCACCACCGAGGGGGGCTTTGGTGACACAAAGCACATCACCACCCCCATCGCCCCAAGGAACTTGAGGGTAGTGGCAAAGGTAGCTTCAAGGGTGAGCCAACGGAGAAGCCTGCCAGGCGCCATCTCAGTTCCAGGGGAAGGCACATCTGCCCCGTGTCCGCTGATGGGGGTCAGGTGGGGCTGGCCTTGGAATTTGCCCCTGGGCCGGACCCAGACGCTAGAATGACCAGGAAGAATCTGAGGAACGTTTTCTTGTGCCCAGAGGGTTCCAGGCCACTGGGCAGATGGGGATTAAGGCTCCAGCAGGGCTCCTGGTCCTGCAGCTGGGTCTCTGCCTGAAACCCATCCTCCCCAGTGAGGGGGAGAGTCTACACTGCTTCCAGCATCACACCCCAGGCCTGGCACACACTAGGAGTTCGAGAAACACTTGCATGAAGCCAGGTCCTGCTGAGCTCCAGGCCAACATGCCTTCTGGGGGAGTTGACAGCCTCCCACTGAATGGTTCCCAGTGCTGCACCCCTAGGCTGACAGTGGGGTAGGGATCTGACCACACCCAAACCACAGGCCTCCTGTGCCTTCCCACTTCTGTCCTGGCACCTGCGACCCACATAGGCCAGGACTCCAGAAGACCAAGAAGCCAGGGCCAGTGTGGAACCAAGAGGCCCAGAACTACTTGTTCCAGTTGAACCCACGATGAGACAGGTGTGCCCCACCAATTCCAGATGCAGCCGCAGGAACAGACCGGCAGCCATGGTGCTGGCTGGACTGACCTCCCCACAGCCTTACACAGTATACCTGAAGCAAACTGTCCTCTCTGGGCCATTAGGGCTCTACTAGAGCCCAAACCAGGGATCCCCCCTCCCCAGCTCAGCCCCTCCTGGAGCCTGAAAGGCCACCCAGTCCAGGGTCTCCTCTGGTCCATACAGAAGCCATCCCCCAAGCCATCCTCCAGCCAAGCCCAGTGTCCTAGGAAGTGGGCACATGCTAGACCCACAGCTCTGTGACCCGTCACCTTTCTCTCCCTCCCACCCAGTGACTCTCCCCCCTGCTCCCCCCACTGACCTTCTTTCTCGAGGAGCCAGCCTTGGTGAGGCAGGACTTCTCTAGAGCCAGGTAGCCACCAATCACCTCAATCTCATGCACAGTGGGATAGCGCTTCTTCAGTGTGGGCCCCAGGGCGGCAGGGGGATCTGACAAGCTGCCTGCCTCCTCCTCCTCAGCCTCCTGTGGCCTGAGCTCCCCATTGGTCTGCAGGGACCCTGGCTTCCTCTTGGGCACCACAGTGAAGGTGTTGCCACCTCGGTGCTGGCGCCCTGACTGGTGCCCAGGCCCAGCGGGGTGCGGGTGGTACCAAGGAGGCCCACCAGCTCCGGAGCAGTGCAGTTTGGCTTCTTGGGGGACCTCATCCTCTGAGTCCACCTCATCAATGAAGGTAACAGGCAACCCTGGGCTCCCAGGCTCCCTGCCGTTCTTGGCCAAGCTGGGAACCCCGAGGCCCTGGGCAGGCTTCGCTTCGGCAGCAGCCAGCGCACACAGGAATGGTGAGGACAGCCGCTGCTGCCGAACAGCTTGGTCCACGAGGGCAGTAGCTGTCCTGGGGGAGGCCCCCTCCTCCACCCCCAAGGGGCTCCTCCCTCCGGCAGGCACGCTATCCCTCCCAGGCACCAGCTGGGCTTCGAGCTCCAGGCTTTGGGAGGCCCAGCCAACCTCTGTCTCTGGCAGCCCCCTACCCTGCCTCCCTTCAGGAGGAGGGGCCCCAGAGTCTTTCCGCTTGGGGATGAACAGGAAGGAGTTTCGCGAGTTCACACGGAGGCTGGCCAGGGCCCGGGCCTGGAGGTCCCCAGCAGGGATCCTATCCATGTCTGGCTTGGAGGCCGGCCGTATCTCAAAGGAGTCATTGGCGCTGGAGGCCGCGGAGACCCACTGGCGCTGGCTGGGAGTGGCACTGGAAGGGCTGGATGTGGGCAAGGCCAGGGACGCGGCTGGAGTGGCACTGGGGATCCCGGGGCTGGGGGGCGGGTGGACGGGGGCCTCCCCCGACTCCACCTTTGGCTTCCACTCGCCCGGCCCCGGCGCAGAGCCCGCGAGGCCGTTGGCAGCGCCGGCTTGGGACTCGGGAGCTGCAGGCTCGTTGGGGAGCGGGCGAGGGCCAGCGCTGCGGTGCAGGCCCCGAGGGTGGACGGTGAAGGAGTTGCTGCCGGTCTTCTGCAGGAAGTCGCTGCGCCGCGCCCCAGGGCCTGTAGCACGGCGCTCAGGCTCGAAGCAGGCGGCGCCCTCACCCACGCGCGAGGCAGCGGGGCCGGGAGCAGGCGGTGGCTGCGGCGGCGGGGTACGTCCGCGCTCCGGGCTCCTGCGGCGGACCGGCGCGGCCAGAACGTCGAATTTCTGGAGCAGGCGGCTGACGCGCCCGGGCGGCGGCGGCGGCGGCGGCGGCGCCTCGTACACGAGCACCTCAGCGGCGCGGATGCGGGCGGCCGGGCCAGGGCCCGGGCCGGGGCCAGCGGGCGGAAAGCCCGGTGCCGACTCGATGATGAGGATGTTGTCGGCGTGGATGGTGCGCACACCCGGCACGCGGCGGTACAGCTCCAGCAACTGCTGCACCGGCCGCGCCCCCGCCGGCCCCTCGCCCCCTCCGCGCCGCGTCCCGCGCCGCCGCTCCGATTCGAGCCGCATGAACGGGTTCTCGCGCAGCGGGCCCAGGCTCTCGGCCAGCACGAGCCGCTCGGCCGCCGGCTCCGAGGTCTCCGCCGCGCCCGCCTCGGCCCCAGTCTCGGGTGCCGCGCCCGCGCCCAAGGCGGCCAGCTTGGCCCGCTTCCGCTCCAAGATCTCCCGTTTCCAGGCGGGCAGCGCGGCGCGGGGCCCCGGGCCTGGCCGCCCCAGGCCGGCCATGCTGCGGAGCGAGCGCCGGAGCCAGCGCGCGCGGGGAACTGCGGTAGCCGCCAGCCGTCGGCCTTAGCGCCGCGGCCACGGCCCCCGGCCCCCGTCTATTGGGGAGGGGCCGGCTCGGACCCGCCCCGCGGCCCGCGGCCCCACCTATGGCAGAAGAGAATGGCCAGCCGCGCTGATTGGAGACTGCTCTCCCTGACCTCTCTTTCCCGGGGCGCCTAGTTGGATAGCGCCAGTCTCGGAGCCGGTTTCCATTGGGGACGGCCCTCCTGGACGCGCCTCCGACCCCTCGCCGCTCATTGGCGGCCCCACTTCCGCCTCTGCGCCATTGGCCTGCGAGGACCGGAGGGCGGAGCCCGGCGGGGCTGGGTCCAGGCCGGCAATGCCAGAAGGGCCCCTGGGCCCAGCTAGGCGGGTGACCTTGGCTGGGCTCGGTCTTTCCTCATCGTGCCAGCACCCGGTCCACCTGTTCCTGACGCTCAGAACGCAGTGGAAGAAGAGCCTGCCCAGGACTGGAAAGCTGTCCCCGCTGGTTCAGGGACTGCCCACCTGTGGTCCTAGGTCCACTTGGAGAGGCTAATGCTGGAGCCCCACACAGTGCTGAGGAATTGCTTCTCAGGAACCCCTAACTTTTGCCAGCCCCCAGAACTCACTCTGCTGTTCACACAAGTGGCAGAAGCCCTACCCCACACTTTGCCATCTAGGGCCCACTGAGCAGGAACAGGAGTGCAGAAGCTGTGAGGAGGCACAGAAAAAGCTCTCCAATGCAGACAGCCACGAAAGCCAGGCTGTGCATTCCACCCTGTTGCCTCCCCACACTCCTCTTTCATCTTCTGAACTTCCCCCATCCCAAGGCTAGTAGGGGTGCCAGTGACCTTAAGGGCCCAGCTTTCTTGCCCTTGCCCTGAAGAAGCTCACTCCCAGCACCCACCACACTTTTGAGGCCCAGTGAAGCCAAGGGGAGATGAGATTAGGGGGCACTGACATAGAGGGATACTACTTGCCTTCCCCTCACCTCTCCTGCACTCAGCACTTGCTCAGTAATGGCACTCACCTTTCAGGGAGTTGGACACTCCCTTTCAGGGACAGGGCTCCAAGGACACCTGGGGCTCCACATAGACTGCGGGCAGGTTTCAACCTGGGGTGCCCTTCTCCGCTTCCGGGGCCCATGGTGGTCTGCACTACAACTACTTTAACATTGACTTACTCCTTTCCACTCTACTAAGCCAAGAAAATAAACTGGATTTCAGCCTTCCAGAGGTCAAGTGTGTCCTTTGCAGGACTCTGGTCAAATCACTTTTCCGAAGGAAACTAAGCCTTCTTATGCTCATCACTTCTATAGCAACAGGATCATTCAATTCTGAACTACAAAATAAAACAGGATACAACAAAACATGCAACCTAAAAATAACATTAAAAGAAAACCCACTCCCAGGGTGCCTGGCTGGCTCAGTCAGAGAAGTATGCGACTCTTGATCTCGGGGTCCTGAGTTCGAGCCCCACGTTGGCTGTAGAGATTACATAAACGAACTTTAAATAATAAAAAAAAATAAAGGAAACCCACCGGCAATGTTCATCTTCTAACCGATTTTGACACAAATTATGCCAATCCTGGGTAGAAAACATTGTTGTAGCTGTGGGACAAACCAGACCAGTCTCCAATGCAAGCATCTCAATGGCTCAGGCCATGCAGCATCCATTCCAGGCAGAGGGTCACAAAGCTGCTTCACTAAAATAAAGGTCTGCAAATCTGTTCTGTAAAGGGCCAGACAGTAAATATTTTATTTTTAGGCAGTTCTCACCAGGGACAGCTTTGTCTCCCAGACTTGTTAGTGTATGGAGACACTTCTGCTTGTCACAAGTGAGGGGTGCTCCTGGCGTCTAGTGAGTAGAGGACAGGGATGCTGCTAAACATTCTACAGTGCTCAGAACAGCACCACCACCCACCCCAATCAAAGAACGATTTGACCCAAAAGGCCGAGTGCCAACTGCAAGCCACATTCACTTGCTGTCACATGCTCTTTGTTTTTATAACCCTTTGAAAATGTAAAAAATCACTCTCAGCTAATGGGCAGTACAAAAACATGCCTCAGGCCAGAGTTTGTTGACCCCTGCTCCACAGCAAGGCCTATAAAGACCACACACTGGCAGGAAGACAAGGCTCTGATGTCACACAAACTATTCAGTAGTGCCTCAACACAGGCCTACCCTATGTTGTCTTCACCCTGGCTCCCCGGGCAGGACGACAGGCTTCTCCGAGGGAATGCCCCCATCCACCAATGAAGCTCTAGTACATGCCAGTCTCCCACAGTCAGCTTTGTAACCAGCTACATGACACAGGGGGGAGCATCTCAGCATTCATCTGATTTCACCCTCAAGAGCTCAGGCAACCACTGTACATCTCAGCAAAACATTCTTATTTTATTTTTATCTCAGCAAACGTTCTCCTTTGGCACCTGACTGGCATTAAACTAAAGACCCCAGCGCAACAAACATGGGCCAAGACCATTTGCAGGTCTCAGTGCCTGTGAGCATCAAAGCTGTTCCTCTCTCTGGTCCCTTAGGGAGGCCTAAATCTGTCTCAGGTGTGCTAACAGTGCTGGCCACAAGGTGGTGGAAAAGTTGCAATTGACTGGGATAGGAAGCCAAGCAGTGCTTTATAAGCAAAGTTCTCTCAGGTGGCAGATCTCCACAAATATAGGGTCCCAATCATGCTTATTCAACATATTCCTGTCTGCCTGGGCTGGAATGAAGAAAGGGCCATCCTCCCCAGTGGCTCAGGGGAGGAGACACAAGCTCGTTTACACCACTTAGAGCTCAAGCATCTAAGTCTTGTCTGGCTGGGATGGGGCAGTGGGCTCTTAGGTCAGCGCTGCTGGGCAGAGGAAATCCCCGAGTCCGGCTTTGCAGCCTTTGCACAAGGAGTACTCTTCCAAGATCCATGAAAATACTCAGAGCCCATCGGGGCATTTTACATATATGCAGTTTGCAACTGTCAGAGGAACTCTGCACTGTCTGGCCTGGATACTTCTCAGCATCTCAATTCAGGATTAGCTATTCAAAGCATGAAATAACAAGAAATACATTTTAAGGATCAAGGCTGCTCTTTTTTGCCCTGCTGAGGGAACAATTTTAGACATATGATTGGTATAGAGAAAATTGAGCACTCGCCAAGGCAGGAGCTGACTTTGCTTTCAGACCCAGACTTCTCCTTTGGTGCGGTGGAAGTGGGACCTCAGCTTGGGGTCCAGCATCCTAGCTATCCAGAGTTCTCTCTCCGGCCTTTCTGCGAGGCTAGTTGACCCGACAGGCGCGGATCATGAGCAGCTGCAGGAGAATGAAGACTGGAGACGTGATCAAGCCGAACCAGAGCTCCCGAGTCTGTTCCACCAGCTTCTGGCACAGTAACATCTCGAAGACAAACTTGAGGCTAAGAACCGTGAGGACCCAGAAGAGGCGGAGCACGGCCAACCGCTTCTCTCCGTCCTGGAAGAGGCGCACGGACACGATGGTGGTGAAGTAGGTGCTGAGCCCATCGGCGGCGAAAAAGGGCACAAACACGTTCCACCAGGAGAGGCCGGGGGCCAGGCCGTCCACACGCAGTGCCAGCAGCACGGAGAACACCATCAGGGCCAGCAGGTGCACAAAGATCTCGAAGGTGGCGAAGCCCAGCCACTGCACTAACTCCCGGAGGGAGAAGAGCATCGCGCCGGTTGAGCGCGGGCCGGGGCCCGGCCGAGCGTCCCACCGGCGGAGCTGCTCCTCCTCTCCCCGTGGGTCTCGCCGGCGCCTGCCGCCGTCGCCGCTGCTGCGAGCGGGAGACAGCGAGCGGCTCCGCCTGTCCCGGCCCTCGGCCCTGGCGGGCCGCCAATACCCTGGTCCCGGCCGGAGACCCAGTACTGGCCGCGAGCGGATGCCCGCCTCTCTCGGACGCCATGCCCTGCAGGGCGCGGCCTGAAGGCGTCACTTCCGGCGACCACCGGAAGTCGGAAGTCCAAGCGGGTCTGGGCCGCCCAGGCTCGTAGGAGCTGTTAGCAGGCCCGGTACCTGGGTGCGGGCGTCTCACGGTCGTCCCGATGCCGAGCCCGGGCCTTCTGGTGCTCTTCGGCAGCCAGACAGGCACGGCTCAGGATGTGTCGGAGAGGCTGGGCCGCGAGGCTCGGCGCCGGCGGCTCGACTGCCGGGTGCAGGCCCTGGACTCTTACTCAGTGGTGAGGGCGCCCTAGGGCCTCGGCGAGGAGACCGAGCAGGCCTGGGGCGCCAGCCCCTCTCCGAGCCCTCGACCGCAGGGCGCCGCATTTTGTCTGACAGCAGGCCCTTCATTTATGGCGGGTTAAGGGGGCGGGAGAACCTCGGGACAGTGGCTTGGCTTAGCGCATGGAGGGAGGGAGCAGGCAAGGTGGGAGGGTGGAACCTGAAAGAGAAAAGGGGCCGGCCGGCCATTCGCGGGCGCTCACTGAAGTGGTGTCCTACCACCGTGAGCGAGGGAGAGGGCGCCAGGCGGCGGAGAGGATGCCTAGTCATTACAGCCCGAGATCTTACACGTGTGTCTTTTTGTTGAGGTGAATCTGATTAATGAGACCCTGGTGATATTTGTTTGTGCAACTACAGGCCAAGGAGATCCCCCTGACAACATGAAGGTAAGGCCGACCTGAAGGCTTTCTTTGCTCAGGAGCTCAGATCACTGCCCTGGACCCTCACTCTGTTTTCTTTGCCTGGAGAGTCCCAGAAGCACAATAAACACTTGCCCTCCTATACCTGCTGCTGCACGTTAGCTATGGATTGGGAGGGGTATCTTCGGATGGAGCTGGGGGCTCTGGCTCCGGCTGTCCTCCCTAATAAACTCTTCACAGGCCACCAAATAGCCTTGTTCTCCATTCTAACCTGTAATATTTTCTCTAGGGCTGTATATGAATCAAGTCTGGGTCTATGTGTGTATTTCAAAACTGGTGGACCTTCCCAGAACATTCTTCAATTCTTTGTGAACATCTTTTGAGTACACATTCTATTCCAAGCATGATCTAGTGCTGGGATTCCAGCCATGAACCTATTTCTGTCCTCATGGAGCTCACATTATAGCACAAGCAACAACTTTCACAGGCAGTTACAATACTAGGAGATACATACTGCCAGGGAAAGTACCAGATGTCATGGGGGCATTAATAAAAGCTATCTAGCCCAACCTAGGGGCTCAGGGAGAGCTTTCGAGAAGAAAGGTGTGTAGGCTAAGTCCTGAGGATAAGTGGGGGCTGGCCAGGCAAGAGGGAGAAGCCTGTGCAGAGGAGAAAGACCACCTCTGGGAAGAGTGAAAGCAGTTCAGTAGGACAGAGCCACAGAGAGCATCAGGGTGGGAGGGGAGAAGAGAGGCAGGAAGCTGGACCTGATCCCAAGGAGCCCAGCAGCCACAGTAAGGTGGAAAGACCTGAAGTGAAGGGCTGTGGAATCCACTGGGTGACACAGTCACATTTGTACTCTAGCAAAACTGCCACTTGTCAATAGGGGGGTGGGCTATAGGAGAGCAAGAACAGCTCCAGAGTATGCACAGTGCAGGCGAGACTGGCGGCCTGGACCAGGAGGGTGGCAGGCAGTAGAGAAAAATAGACACGCTCCGGAGATGTCAGGGTAGCATCGAGAGGACATGGAATCAAACAGGGATTCGGGCTCGGGGACCAGAATGGCTGGTAGTTCCAGGCACAGAGATCGAGACCAGGGAGGTCAAGTGGTAGGAGTCATCCAGGTCGAGGTGCAAGGTTGGTGTGGAGCTCTAGCAAGTATCCTGGGTGAGGCATGAGAAAGGAAGCTCTCCCTCTCTCCTGGGACAGATTGCCCTGAAAACCAAGGGCATGAGAGGTGGAGGAAAGCCTGTGAGGGGCAGGAAAGTGGCCCCAGCAGCAAAATGGGAGTGTACCAAATCCAAGGTCAAGGGCACAGAGGTGACTTCTGAGAGGGAGGTTTCCAGCACTCAAAGCTGCACAGAAGTGAGATAAGGCCTGAGCAGCATTGGTTTATCAGCAAAGGGCCTGCTGGTGACTTTGGGGAGAGCAGTTTCAGTGACTCACAGGGAGAGAAGTGAGTCACGGGGTCAACAACTGAGTGGAGAGAATCTTAAGAATGTCTTTACGTGAAACAAAAGGGGCGCCTGGGTGGCTCAGTCGGTTAAGTGTCTGACTCTTGATCTCAGCTCACGTTATGATCTCAGGGTCGTGAGTTTAAACTCCACGCCCAACGTGGAGCCTACAGGAAACAAACAAATGATTCTGGCTGTGATCGGGGCGAAGGGGTTGGAAAGAAGGTGTTAATAAGATGAGAGAGATGGGGCGCCTGGGTGGCTCAGTCAGTTAAGCGTCTGCCTTCGGCTCAGGTCATGATCTGAGTCCTGGGGTTGAGCCCTGCATCGGGCTCCCTGCTCGGCAAGGAGTCTGCTTCTCCTTCATGCCTCTCCCCCACAGCTTGTGCTCTCTTGCTTGCTTGCTCACTCTCAAATAAATAAATAAAATCTTAAAAAAAAAAAGATGAGAGAGACCTGTTAAATGCTGGGAGTGGGGAGTCTGGGGGAGAAAGAGGCTTAAGATTGAAGAACAGGGTCACAGCGGGGATGATATAGGAGACCTGGGGCCGAGACCCCAGCACAGTCAGGAGGGGTCTCCTCAGACCGGAAGAGAAGGCAAGCCTGGGAATCAGAAGCAGGAGGTGAAGGGTGGATATACCCAGGACACAGGGCAAGGGAGGGGAGGGGAGACAAGACTTGTAGGAGGTCGGCTGGGGTACAGACGGGCTATCAGACACCAGCAGCACGGAGGAGGTGCTGGTCATCCCTGAATGAGGGTGGGCAAGGAAGATGGCAGGCATAGACCCCACCATGGAGGTGGACAGGAGAGAGCCCTCCCCAACCACAGCGGGGCCTGGAGGCTCCTTGGAGAGGCTGCAGACTGAGGGCCCAGGGACACGGAGGAGGGGGCATGGGTCCTGCTGAAGACCCGGCTTAGTGACCAGCTGTGTACTAAATGCTGGCTGCCTTGCCTCGGTCTTCAGAACCCTGAGGTCAGGCCCAGGCTCCCAGGCAGCGGACAGGGGGAGCCCTCTGTCAGGAAAGTGAGTAACCACAGCAGAAGACCCAGCAGGATCCTGGCCGTGAAACCCACACTGGGTGACAGGCCCAAACTCATGGTTTTCTGTCAGCTTCTTAAGTCCAAGGGAACCGTGAAGAACCACCACACCCTCAGGGAAGGACGCCACTGAAAGAGACCAAGACAAGCGCAGACATAACCTGGAGGGGCAGAGACAGGGCAGACCCTCCAGAACCCGGCACCCACGAGACAAGAGCACACGAAATAGGACGAACCTGTAAACAGAGGAAATGCTCTTGAAAATGATGTCAGGAAAACTTGAAAAGATCAGAGAGCGGAGTTGAGACAGTCTACTGGAATGTGTAACAAAAAATGAGCTAGGACACAAATCAAAACCCTAAGGTCATTCGAGTAACCTCAGAAGGTGAACCACAGAGTGGGAAGAAACTGACCAGAGAGTCACACAATGTCCCAGAACGGAGAGAGCCCGCCCGCGCCTGGGAAGGGCCCACCTGGATGGAAAGGCTCCCACCACGTCGTGGTGGTTGCAGTTCTTGGGGACAGACAGCAGGACACGGGAGGACATTGGCTTCTCGGCCCCCGTGGCCCAGCTGGACCAGCTTGGAGCAGGGCCTTGGGCTCTTCGGAAAGAGGATTTCCTATGGAAGTGTTCCCCGCTAACCTGCCAGTCCTTGTGAAGGGAGGGCCCAGGCATGCTCAGATGCAGAGCTGTGAGAAGTGTACGTTTGCTGGGCTTCTCAGCAAGCACCTGAAGGACATTCTCTGCAGGCTTCAGGAAACCGGTCTCTTAAGGAGAGGTCCCCAGAGGCAGAGTGGGTGTAGTCCCCAGCAGGGGGTGATGCAGCACAGTCCTTGGGGAGGCCAGGGGTGGCCCAGGGCCAGTGGGCAGAGCTGTGCCTGGACAGGGCCGGGGTCCCTCCACCCCAGGGGGCGTCTGTCTCTACAGCTAAGAAGCAGAAGGGAGGTGGAGTGCAGCTCAAGTCCTGGACCGCACACAGAAGTAGGTGTCACCAGGGCTCAGGCCGCTGCGGGCTGAAGGTGATCTGTGTTGGGAAAGTGCCCCTGGAGGCTGGGACAGAGTGGCCCAGGACCGTGAGGGTCCCCCGGTGGGAAGGAGAGGCACCGGGCTGTGACCTTGGGGGCCTGGGATGGCCAGACAATGGGGATGAGAGTGCCCTGGGGAAGGACACAGCTCTGGGTCCTCAGCCTGCACAGCGAGTTAGGTGGGAAGCCGCGGGGGCAGCACTGAGTACCAAGCACGCTGATGGGGGCTTGGGGCCCAGAGGGGGCTCCAAGGGAGAGAAACTTCACCTTCCACCGACGGGGTGGGACTAAGACCCCTGGGGGGCTGCAGGGGTGCCTGTGGCCGCCTGGGGTTCAGAGCTGGGGGTGGAGGGGCCTTCAGGACACAGGACTCTTGGCACAGAGGCGTAGCCGTGGCCAGGGGAGACCCGAGCAGAAGCAGGGGCTTCCCCCACCTTGGGGAGAGCTGGGGGGCAGGCAGCGGCTGTGGCCTCCCTGCTTTGGACCCCAGCAGCCTTCTCTCCGAGTCCTCTCCCCAGGATGGGGTGAAGCTCCACCTTCTGGTGGTGGCTCTGGGGCAGCTTGCTTGCTTTTTTTTTCTGTTTTTTGTTTTGTTTTGTTTTGTTTTAAGATTTACTTATTTCAGAGAGGGAGGGGAGAGAATCTTGAGCAGCGTGGTGCCCGGCATGCGGCTCAATCCCACGACCCTGAGATCAAGACCTGAGCTGAAACCAAGAATCAGAGGTTCAACCTACTGAGCCACCCAGGCGCCCCCTGGGCAACTTTCTTTTTTATGATTTTCTGCCTTTTCCCAATTTTTTTTTTTTTTTTGGCCATCCTGATAGAATAAAAACCGGCCTTGTTTTAATAACAAAGGTCTAGAGGAGCAGGGTGGGTCCAGCATGCAGCTCCTCCCTACCCTCCTACCCTGGGACCCCAGTGGTCTAGAGCAGGACCTCTAACTTGGCTTCTTCTGGCTGTAGAACTTCTGGAGGTTCATATTCCGGAAGAATCTGCCACCGACCTCCCTCTGTCAGATGGACTTTGCCGTCCTGGGCCTCGGCGACTCCTCATATGCCAAGTGAGTAGGGGCAGGAGGGCTGCTGGCCCACAGGGACTGTCCTCAGGGTTGAGCACAAAGCGTCCTGTAGAGGGACGGTTGACTCGGCCCCCAGGGCTCCCGCTGGACCTCAGGCCGGGACCAGGCTGTGCGTCCTGCTTCTGCAGGGACCACCGGGGAGCAGCTGGGTTTTGAAGGATACGCAGGGAACAGACCGGAGGCTGGCAGGGCAGCAAAGGGGGGATGTCTTCTAGGGCAGGGGGTGATGTCTGGACCTGGCCAGCATCCTAGGTGGACATGGGACCCAGGGCAGCAAAGGCCTGCCGACTCTTCGCACTCTTAGGAAAGCACGTAGTTGGGAGATATTTGGTGTACAAAGAGAACAGAGAACAGTGCAGTGGGGACAGGCGAGGGGCCCAAAAGGCCCCCAGCCGCTGAGAGCCACCCCCAAGGCCACTATTTCCCTGGGTATGGTGGAGTGACCACCTCTTAGATCTTCAGGACACATGTATGTCCTAAGCTAAGGGTATGTTGCTTTTCCTTCTTAAAGCAGCACCGAGGGCTTTGCATTTAGGGTATGCGAGTCGTCAGGTCACTGAATCGTGGAAACCCCCACCCGTGTGCGCAGGGGCTGAGGGAGGGCCTGCTGGGTGCCGCCGCCTCCAAAGCCAGGTGCGGCTGGAGGGGGGCTGGGACGGCGGCGGTGTGACACTCCCCTGCTGGGGGTTTTGTTCCGTGCCTCCCGTAGACACTTGTGTGTGGTGGCGCAAACACAGGCACGAGGGGGGTGGGGGTGGAGAGCCCCTCCTGCTGACAGCGTTCCCTGCGAGGCGCTGTGGGCTCGTTTGGGGCTGCTTCCCCTTCGCCACCCTGCGGCCCTGAGGCTGGAGCCTGCCCGAGCCTCACTTTCCCTCCAAAGGTTCAATTTTGTGGCCAAGAAGCTACACCGTCGGTTGCTGCAGCTTGGGGGCCGCGCCCTCCTACCCATGTGCCTGGGCGATGACCAGCATGAGCTGGGGTGAGTGGAGTGGGGGGCGCTGCCCTGCAGGGCCCGGGAGCAGGGGCCCCTCAGACTAGCCCACACACACTCTCTCTCCAGGCCTGATGCTGCCGTCGACCCTTGGCTGCACGATCTATGGGGGAAGGTGCTGGGGCTGTACCCCGTGCCCCTTGACCTTGGCACGATCCCCGCCGGAGTCCCGTGAGTGTGGGCCGACAGGTGCAGCGGAGTGGCCAGAGGCCCTGCTGGCAGCCTGACCGGCAGTCTGACCGGCATGTGCCCTCTCCACAGTTTGCCCTCCAAGTTCACGCTGCACTTCCTCCCGGTGGCCCCAAGGGTGTGCTCTGAGGGGCAGCGCATGGCTGGCACAGAGCCTCAAGGTCCCCCATCCGAGCAGCAGCCCTTCCTGGCACCCATGGTCACCAACCGGAGAGTCACCGGCCCCTCGCACTTCCAGGACGTTCGGCTGATGGAGTTCGACATCACAGGCTCCGGGCTCAGGTGAGGGGCCTGAGACACCAGGCGGGCAGTCGAGGGCCGTGGCTGGGGGGCCGAGGCTGGGGGGCCGTGGCTGGGGGACCGTGGCTGGGGGGCCGTGGCTGGGGGACCGAGGCTGGGGGGCCGTGGCTGGGGGGGCCGAGGCTGGCGGGGCCGAGGCTGGCGGTGCAGAAGGTCCGCTCCCAAACCTGGAGAGCAGGCACTCAGCGGGGTGGAGGGGTACGGGCCAGGCGGCAGGGAGACACTTCTATCCGAGGACCCCTCACCCCAGCCCTCCCTAGACTCTTGCTTCCATCCCCCCAGCATCCTCCCCTGTACCCCTGGTGCCCTGCCCACACCCCCTCATTCTTCCCTGCGGCTTTCCCACACAGCTTTGCAGCTGGCGACGTGGTGCTGATCCAGCCTGAGAACACGGCCAGCCACACCCAGCGGTTCTGCCAGGTGCTGGGCCTGGACCCAGACCAGAACTTCACCCTGCTGCCCCGGGAGCCAGGTGAGCGCCAGGGGCCAGGGGAGGCCCGGCCGTGGCCACCCGTTCTCCCCACCCCGCGGGGGTCTCCTGGCGTGCTCAGCCCTCCCCCGTGTCCTGCCCCCCACTGCAGGTGTGCCCTGCCCTGCGCGGCTGCCCCAGCCCTGCTCTGTGAGGCACCTTGTGTCCCACTACCTGGACATTGCCAGTGTGCCCCGCCGTTCCTTCTTTGAGCTCCTTGCCTGTCTCTCTCCCCATGAGCTGGAGCGGGAGAAGCTGCTGCACTTCAGTTCCCCCCAAGGTCAGGAGGAGCTGTACTCCTACTGCAACCGGCCTCGCAGGACCATCCTGGAGGTGTGAGCAGGTGTGGGCAGGCGGGCAGGCCCGGGGCTCTGAGCCACAGCCACGCGTGGCCATGCTGGTCAAAGCCCATGTGAGGCTGTCTCTACCCAGGTACTGTGTGACTTCCCGCACACGGCTGGAGCCATCCCCGCAGACTACCTCTTGGACCTCATCCCCCCGATCCGTCCACGGGCCTTCTCCATCGCCTCCTCTCTGCTGGTGAGGGCCTGTGGGGCAGAGCCCAGGGCGGGGACGCTGGGCCATGCCGCATACAGGCATATAGGTTGGGGGTCACCCGGACCCTCCACATCTACCCTACGTCTGGGACCAGCCCTGGGTGAAGTGGGTGCAGCCTGAAGCCGGGGTGGCAGGCAGGGACAGCAGTGGATCAGGGCACCCACCACGCATCCCCCAGGCTCACCCCTCGAGGCTGCAGATTCTCGTGGCTGTGGTGCAGTACCAGACCCGCCTCAAGGAGCCCCGCCGGGGCCTCTGCTCTTCCTGGCTGGCGTCGCTGGATCCTGGGCAAGGTGGCCCCTGCTTTCCGGAGGGTGGGCGTAGAGGACTGGGCCCGGGGCCTCTGTTCTCCCCTGTGCACCATGGCCAGTCCTGGGCTAGGGCCCTGGTCCTCGGAGCCTCTTCATGCCTCCTCTCTCCTGCCATAGGACCTGTCCAGGTGCCACTGTGGGTGCGGCCTGGGGGCCTGACCTTCCCACAGACACCAGGCACACCTGTAATCATGGTGGGCCCTGGCACTGGCGTGGCCCCTTTCCGAGCAGCTGTCCAGGAGCGCGTGGCCCAGGGTCAGAGCGGTGAGCACACAGGATCTTAGGCAGGGCGGCAGCTGGGGCTGGACTGGGCCAAGCCTTGAGGCCACCGTGTGTTCCCCCAGGAAACGTTTTGTTCTTTGGCTGCCGCTTGCGCGACCAGGACTTCTACTGGGAGGCTGAGTGGATGGAGCTGGAGGGGAGGGGCTGCCTGACACTCTTCACGGCCTTCTCCCGGGAACAGGTGGGTGTGCTGGGAGGAGAGGGGAAGGGCCCAGGATGCAGACTCACCTTCCCAGCCCCTGCCACCTCCCAGTAGGAGCGGAAGGTGTACGTGCAGCATCGGCTCCGAGAGCTCGGGCCACTGGTGTGGGAGCTGCTGGACCGCCAGGGTGCCTACTTCTACCTGGCAGGGTGAGCCTGGGCCTCTGGGTGGGGTTGGGAGCCGGGCCTCAGGGGTCCCAGCCACACTGAGCCCTCCTGGTCTGTCCCTCCAGCAACGCCAAGTGCATGCCAGCAGACGTGTCAGAAGCCCTGACGTCGGTCTTCCAGGAGCAGGGTGGGCTCTCGGCCCCTGATGCAGCTACCTACCTTGCCAGGCTCCAGCGGACGCTGCGTTTCCAGAGTGAGACGTGGGCCTAAGGAGCCATCCTGCCGGCCTCGGCCACTCTAGCCACTGCCCTCTGGGGGGCCACGATCACCTCCCACCCTGTCCCCTGCACAGCCTCGCTCCAGTCCACCTGGGGTCCCATACTCAGCCCCGACACCACCGACCACTCACCACCCCACCCTGCCCCCATCCAGGGTTCCTGCTGGCCTTGCCCCACTGGCCCCAACTTGGGTCCTGGTCAGGGTGGTCCCTGGGCTGCATCACCCTGTGTAGGGACGGTGCCTCAGGAAGGAGCGGGCAACCTGATGGACATCAGGGGCTCCCCAGACAGCATAGGAACCTGGGGTGCAGGGAGCCCCAGTGAGCCTTCTGAGCTGGTGCAGGGACCCTGGGAGTGCAAGATGCCACCCCCCCATTTGCCCTAGAGGACAGCAGGCTCCCAGTCACCCTCTGCCACAAAGCACCCGGTGCTGCCTCAGGGCCTCACGGGGCTCGAAGTCAGTGAGGACCAGAGCAGTGGGAGGAGGCCCCCCAGCCAGTCAGACTTTCCCCGCCCCACTCCTGGAAAGCCTCAGTAATAAATTGTGGGTTCTGGGTGGCTGCTTCTGACCTGCTCTTCCTTGTGACTGTCGGTGCCTCGGGGGCTGGGTGGCCCACAGTGGGTCTGGATGGGGACAGCTCTTGGTGCCTCGGGGGCTGGGTGGTCCACAGTGTGTCTGGATGGGGACAGCTCTTGGTGCCTTGCGGGGCTGGGTGGCCCACAGTGGGTCTGGATGGGGACAGCCGTCCATGGTGGGCACTGCACCATTGCTCAGCCATCTTTGTTGCAACACTTAGGGGTCTGATTCTACTGTGATGTGTGCCGGCTGTTTGCCCACTTTGTACAAGGTCTGCCCTGGCTCTGAAGAGCAGGGGGGCAGCCTTAAGCGGGCCTTGGAAGGTAGGGCGCGTACTGACCATTCCTTCCCAGCCCGGAAGTAGCAGTCCCCGGCGGGGGCGGGAAGGCGGGGGAGCGGGGGGCGGGGCAGCCATTGTCCCCGCCCCTGGGAGGGGCCTTCAGGGTCCCGAGGGGAATTCCTGTAGGCGGAGTCAGGCTGGCTGGCCTACCCACAAGGCTGCTACTTGGAGTCCGTCCCTCCGTCCGTCAGTTGCGAACACAGCGGAGGGCCGTGGCCACGTCTGGGCCGGGTCAGATCCGGTGGAGACGGCACCTGTGGGCCCAAGAGCTGCCCGGAGCTGGCCCAAGCGACCGTGACTTTCCAGGGTGGGGAAAGGAGCTGGGCGCTGGGGACCAGGCTGCTGCTGCTTTGAGGTCAGTGCCAGACCCTGCCCGTGCCCAGAGGGCCACACGGACCTTCACAGCCACGACCACCCTGGTCGCCACCCTGGGTACCCCGCCCACCCACCCGAACTCCTGCCCCAGGGCCCCCACTCATGGCCCCTGTGACCTCAGCTCTGGACTCACCGGTCTGCCTTCAGCCTCTCTGGGCCCGGAGTGCCTGGCCCCCCCGCGCCAAGTGCTGGCGGAGGAAGACTTGGACAGCAGGGTTCTTAGGAACGCCCAGGGTGCTGGGGCTCTAGACAGTGAGCCCCTGCTCGGGGCCACGGCCACAGCCTGCCCCTGGGCTGGGCAAGCAAGGGAGGATGTGGCTGGGGATCAGGCAGGGGAGTGGGGGGAGGAGGAGTGCCCCATCTGCACAGAGCCCTACGGGCCCAGTGAGCACCGCCTGGCCCTGCTGAACTGTGGCCACGGCCTGTGCGTGGGCTGCTTGCACCAGCTGCTGGGCACAGCCCCCAGCGCCAACCTGGGCCAGGTGTGCTGCCCATTGTGTCGTCAGAAGACACCCATGCTTGAATGGGAGATCTGCCGGCTGCAGGAGGAACTGCTGCAGGCAGACGGGCCGCAGGGCCCACGGCCCCCGAGCCCCCCTGCTCCTCCCCGCCGGGGCCCTGAGCCCTGGGCCTCCCTAGAACACCGCTACCAGCTACGCTTCCTGGCGGGGCCCGTGGGCGGCCAGGGCTGCCTACCCTTCCTACCCTGCCCGCCCTGCCTGGGTGCCCGGCTCTGGGCCTTGCGGGAGCGAGGGCCCTGCACCCGCCGCCTAGCACTGCTGGGCCTGCTGGCCCTTGAGCTCCTGGGCCTGTTGCTCATCTTCGCCCCACTCATGCTGCTGGGGCTGCTCTTCGTGCTGCTGGACCGCTCTGGCCACTGAGCAGGGCCTATCACACCTGCCACTGGCACCACCGGGCCTCAGTCCTGGCCACCCACGGACCAGGAGCCCCAGGCTGGCCCTGAGGCCTGATGACCAAACTGAAAAGCCTGAGACGGAGCCGGGCACTAGCCTTCAATCCAGACCCGGGTCTGGGGCCAGGCCTACCCTGGAGCCAGAGACTTCAAACCACCCTGCCGCCTGATGCTAACTACTGGTGCCCGTGGGCAGTGCTGGAGGAGGCCTGTGGCCTGACTTCACCCCCCCCTCCCTGACCCACCCGGCCTGTCTGCAGGAGGGACACAGCGGACACAAAAGTGAACCCAGAAGGCTGTATTGAGCTGACTCCTTGGTGAGGGTGGGGCCCCGGGCAGGGGCTGCAGGATCCCCACCTTGTCATGTTCCAGAGAAGGGCCAGTGTGTCTTCCCTGAAGGTCAGGGCAGCGGAGGGGAGGGGCCCTTGCTGTGCCAGCTCAGGCCACAGACAGCTTCCTCACTCACTGGGTCAGGACCCAAGGGGGTGGCCCCAGCGGCCAGGTGTCCAGCACATGTCCCCGAATGACTAGGCCTTGGGGCTAGACAGCACTGACCTGAGGCCCCTGAGTGCCCTGTAACCTCCTGTCATTGAGCCTGGGACCTTTATCTAAAGGACAGACACAATCAGCACGACCTCACGGGTTTGTGGGTGACATGCTGAGTGCTGTGCCTGGCCCAAGAAATGGCTCTCAATACACAGCAGCTGCTACCGAGACCTCGTCCCATGTTCTTGACGTCTCTACCCCTCCCTCGGCGCCCTGCGGCTCTCCCCAACCCTCCTCTCTCCCCTCCACCACAAAGCTTCCTTCCCAAGTCCAGGTAGTGGAGTACAAGATCGAAGGCCCCTGGGTCCTCCTACCCCACCATGGTCTCAGGCAGCCTTTGTCTCAACCCTGGCTCAGACTGGCTCAGAGGCCATTCCCATACAACCTCAGAGGGTCTGGTGGGTACCAGGAGCCTGAGAGACTGAGGTGTCCCCCATCCAGCTGCCCCCACCTCCAGTGGCCAGTGCAGAGGACACGTCCACCCTTTGCCCACACACAGGAGGCTGGCTGGCTCTGCAGAGACGTGGGGCATTCACATGCACACACATACACACAACCAGGCCCAGCCCTCCTGAGTGCCGTGCCTGGCCGAGCCTGGCCCCAGCAAGCAGAGCAGGCTGACCCCAAGCGGCACTGGGCCTACCTCTGGTTGGACCCTGTCTGGGCTGCAGCCCTGGGCACAGGCCACAAGAGCAGGCTTCAGTCCGGGGAACAAGGTGCAAACTTTGGCAAAGAGTTTTAATGGCAGAGTTGGCTGCAGCGACAATGCCACATGGGTAGGGGCCAGAAGCTGTGGTGGGCGAGGGGTCAACGGGCGACAGGGCAGGGCCGGATCCCTGAAGAAGCGGCGAGCAAGGACTGGCGGGCAGTGGCGAGCGGGTGGGTGCTACATGATGGAGCAGGCGGACAGCGGGTTCCGCACGTGGCAGGTGCACGCGGCCCCACAGTACTGCCGGAAGGTCTGGTAGCAGCTGCCCTCGGGTTCACCCCCCCACTGGCCACCAGATGGGGCGGTCAGTGCCTCAGGTGGCAGGCGGCTCAGAATGGACGTATTGACGGCGAGTGCAGCCAGGCCGTAGTCCGTGAAGAGCACAGTCTCGCGGCGGCAGGTGGGACAGGAGATGAACTTGTACTTAGGGCAGGACTCATAGAGAATCTGCAGGCACTGCTCACACACGGAGTGCAGGCAGGACAGCACTCGGGGCCGCCGCTGGGTGGCGTTGTACGTGTGCCCGCAGGTGGGGCACTCCAGGGGCTCACCTGAAGCTGGTGCCGCTGTAGCGGGGGGCCCCGAGGTGGCAGGGCCAGGCCGCACCACGTACTGATTCACGATGACCTCGTCTGCTGGCGCCACTCGGGGGAAGCCCAACTCCACACTGCCCTTTCGGGGCCGTCGTGGCAAGGGAGGGGTGCGGGGTGCCCCATCCAAGGCAGGCATGTCCCCCCCACATGCCTGGTTGACGATGATCTCTGTGTCTGAGGGCCAGGCGCGTTTGGGTGCCAGAGCAGGGGTGGGCCGCGGTGCAGGTGGGAAGCAAGGGGCAGCCGCCGGCAGCTCAGGGAACTTCTCGGGGTGAACAATCTTCATGGCCTCCATCTTGAGGATGACATGGGGGCCCTTCAGGCAGGACATGAGGAGGCCTGGCCAGCCACTGCCCACCTCGGGCCCAGGGTCAACCGGCATCCGGCTCTCTCCAGTTAGACTGGGTGTTCGGGTGGGTGGGGGCGTTGGGTGAGGCCGGGGAGGAGGAGAGGGAGCAGCATCCTGGTCCCGCCAGGCCTGGTGGGGACCCCGGCCGCCCCGAGGACTCCTGGGGGCGGCCGGCGAGAGCTGGGGGGGCAGGGCCCCCCCCAGTGGCTTCTCTGGTCCAGTCCTAGGAGGAGGAGGAGGAAGGGGCGGGGGAGGAGGAGGGAGGCGGGGGCAGGGGGGTATGGAAGGCTGCCCTGGGCTGCAGGTCTGGCCCAGAGGCTCACCCAGGGTCTCTGGCTGCTGAGGCTGGCCAGGGGGCGTGGGGGGAGCTCCCCCTGCAGCCGAGGTCAGCAGTCCCTGAGCAGGGACATCCGGGCAGGCAGGGGCTAGGTGGGCCCCATGGCTCCAGGACAGGGCGCCCAGGGAAGGCAGCTAGCCTGAGCCCTGGCTGCGGGAGGCCCCAGGCCGCGGGCTCGGCGGCGGCGGGAGCAGATGAGAGGCCTGGACCAGGCCCGAGCTGCAGGTGAGAGACAGCGTGAGGGCAGCGCCCGGGCCCACCCTCACCCTGCACAAAAGACAGGGCGCCCGACCTCTGACCCTAACCCTCGCTGGACTCGGGACCCAGCCCCCGCCCCAGCCCCCGCCCCCACGGCCCAAGCCCTGCCCGGGTGGGAAGGGGCGGCGAGTCGCGACCCCGCGTCCGTCCCGCCCCGCCCGAGCTCACCTGCCCCAGCCTGGCGTCCCCGGGCCGCGCGCCGCCGCCGCAGAGGTTGTCTCAAAGGCAGGCCCGGATGCGACGCGCGCGCCTCGGCCCGGCGGCTCCCGCGGCTCCGGCGGCGACCTCGGGCGATGGCGCTGCACGGCGGCTCCCAGGGGCGCGGGGCGCGGGGCTCCGGGCAGCGCGGCGCGGCGGCAGGTGCGTGCGGAGCGTGGCGCGCTCTGCGGCGGAGGCGCGGGGACCGCAGTGCGCGCGGCGCCCGCCCGCGCCCGCAGCGCCACCCCCCGTCTGGGGACCCGCGCGGGGTCCGCGGGGCGGGGCCAGTCTCTCAGCCGCCCCTCCATCGCCGCGGGCCTGGCGCCCGCTCCCGGGGTTGCCCGCCCCAGCGAGCCGTGTGTGGACCAGGACCCCCGCGCTGCCCCTTTCCAGTACCCCCCCACCCCGAGTCCTGCCTGGCCGACCCTGGGTCCTAGTCAAGGATCCCCACCTCCAATTCTAGAAGGGAAATCCTGTTCTTCGAAGCCTGGGGCCTCACAATTCCGGAGGGAGGAAGGCAAGAGGAGTGGAGAGGTGGTCTCGGGAAAGCTGGCTACCAGACCCCACCGGGAGACCGCCAGGTGTCCCCCCCAGAGAGTCAGGGTCTCTGCCTGTCCTTCCACTCTGTCCCCAGTGCGCATGCCTCCCGCTCACAAGTGCACCCAGGTTGTGCTCAAGGCGGATGGACTGAACGAGGACGAGGTGACCATAAGGGTGAGCAAGATACTCGAGGAGTGGATGGAGACGGGGGACAGTAGCTGGGAGAAGGCTCCAAGGGCAAGAATGCTGGACAGATGGGTGGGGTGAGGGGTGTGCAGGTCAGACAGACACCTGGACGGGCCAGTGGGGCAGCCCACTGAGGACACGCACCCGGGGTGGGGTGGCCCTTTCCGGCGTCCCACCAGGTCAGCACGTGCCTTGCTGTCACATACTTGTGTGCTAACCTCACCCGACCCAGCATAGAGGCCCCATTCCTTTCTGCTTCCTCCTCAAGCCAGGCTTCCTTGATTCCCTGGGATATACCCTCTGCCTGTGGGGAGCCCTCAGCTGAGAGAAAAGGCAGAGAACATGTTGACAACTACTGGGCAGGGGACCACAGCTGCGGGGTGGGGGGCCTCCGCAGTGCCACCCCCTGACCTGCTCCCGCTACTACATGGCATGCTAGCATTCCTGTGACCAGCACCGGGCCCTGTGTGCCTGACCCTGGACAGTCTCAGCGTCTTCTGGCCACAGCCCCTCTCCTCTGTACAGGCCTGACCACACCTGGCTGTAGGCCTTGCCCAGGGGTCCTTCAGGGCAGCAGAGCCCAGAGAGGTCCCTATTCCTGGTGAGGAAGTCCACGCGGGCAAAACAGACTGGAGGAGCGAACGTGTGCCATAGGGGTACTTTGCAGCTCTGTGCGACCTCAGGATCAGTTTCCAAAGCCATTTAGCGAGAGCGGGTGTGGGATGTGTGCAGGTGAGCAGGTGCCCGGCAGGATGGGCAGCGAGGCCCTAATGGGCCCTGGCGCGAAGGTGGGGCAACTGAGAGAGCCCCGGCCAGGGGAGGGCTAGGAACCCAGCCTCGGTCTCCAGTTCTGCTCAACTTCCCAGCGACCCGCTGGGCGCTCACCCAAAGAGGCATCGGCCACCAGGCCCCACCCCTTGCCCTGAGGCCCCGCCCCTGGACATTAGGTCCCGCCCCGTGCAGGCCCACCTCCCCGAGCCCGCCCAAGTCCACGCCCCCGGAGCCGGAGCCCTGCGGGTCAGAGCTGAGCCGCCCAGGCTGAGCTCTGGACCGTCCAAGGCCAGCGGACCCCGAACCGGGTCTTTAGAGAAACCTTTGAGCGCGGGGGCTTCTGGGGCATAAAGTTCTCGCCGGCCGCCCCTGTTGCGCGCATGCGCCAGCCTCTGCCTCGCAGCAAGGGGCGGAGTCTGTAGGGGCAGTGGGCGGGGCTTTTGGAGCCTGCGCAATGAGCATCTGTCATACACCTGCGAAGTCCCGGGCCCCGGGAGGACTTCCCTCCTCACCCGGTGCCACATCTGTAGAACTCGTGCCCGGACCGGTCTGACTGGCCTCATGCAGGCCACCCCGGTCACCCCGGCCTCTGAGCCACGACTGATTTGGTCCCGCCCTTCCTTGGGGGTTCCCTTGGGCACCAGGGACTGGGGGTGCGTGTCCCGGCCCCACCCTACTGCCCAGATGGCTCTGGGGGAAGATCACCAGTGCCAGGCCCAGACCCGAGTGCTCATATCCATTGTCACCACAAAACAAGGCGACCCTGTATGGCAGGTGCTACCTGCCCCCTCACAGATGAAGGTGGGAGGAGGTGTGAGTTCCAAGGATGGAGACGCTGGTGAGGTGGGGAGTTTGCGGTCTGCGAGCCCACCAAGGAGAGGGAAACTGCAGTTTCAGAAATGAGCCAGAAGGGACACCTGGGTGGCTCAGTCGGTGGAGCGTCTGCCTTCGGCTCAGGTCCTGGTCTCAGGGTCCTGGGATCAAGCCCCACATCGGGCTCCCTGCTCAGCGGGGAGCCTGCTTCTCCCTCTACCCCTCCCCCTGCTCGTCCTCTCTCTCTCAAATAAATAAATAAAATATTTAAAAAAAAAAGAAATGAGCCAGAAGTGTCACTTGTCAATGAAGCCCCTGTGCATCGCCAATTTTAAGAATAGTTATAGCAAAGGTGTGTAATTCAAACCTTTTTTATTGGTTAAAAAATGCAAACCTCCAAGCAGGCTGTGCTCTCAAACACCTTAGTGTCCGTCTGCCAGGTAGAGGCTTTGCTTGAAGTGAGGACCTCTGTCCTCTGCCTCAAAGCAGGGGCTTCGAGGTGTGTGAGTGATGGCCTGGGATCTGAGGCTGACAGCAGGCTTACCTCCTGCCCTCCTTCCTGGCGAGCTGCAGGCCTTTGGAGGGCTGAGGACGTGCCCCAGATGCGTGGAGGCTGAGTCACCCGGGCAGTCAGTGCCCCTTGGAGCCCCAGCAGGGGCCACCACCCACCAGAGGAGGAAGGGTGGGTGACTTCTGTGCTGGATGAGCCGGGGCCTCCTGGGATCCTGGGAACCCCATCTTTGAGCTCCACCCCATGGCCCCGCCCTTCCCCGGGAGGGAAAAGGCAGCTAGCTGCCAGTTACTTACCTCATAGGCACTGGGACCTGGCCCACAGGACGAGAGGGTCGACGGCTGCCATCACCACTTCAGGTGGGTCCTGGGCTGAGGGGCTTCTCTGCACTGGGGCTCAACCATGGGCACAGCCCAGCTGCCTCCCCCAGCCTCCCGGCCCATTCGCAGCTCCATCGCAGGGCACCGCCGTGCGGGGAGGGCGCCTGGGACACACTGGCCCTCACACTGAGCTCCTCCCCTGTGCACGGGCGCGCTGACACACAGGCCGGCTACACTGCGGCATCTCCACAGCCTGGCTTTTCCACGGCGGGGGGGCGGGGGGCGGGGGGCGGGGTAGCTTTCTTGGGCTGTAGTTTCTCTCCTCCCCTGAGCCAATATTGTCTCCTCTGCCTGCCCCTGCCAGGCCGAGCCATGGACCAGCAAGAGACGGTCGTCAAGAACCCCTATGCCCGAGTCAGCATCCCCCGGGCTCACCTGCGGCCCGACCTGGGGCAGCAGCTGGAGGTGGCTCCCTCTTCCCAGGGATCGCAGCCTCTGCCTGCGGGGTCCTGCCCCTCAGAGCCCACCCGGCTCCTGCAGCCCACCGAGGAGGCCCCAGAGGGCAAAGGCGCCAAGGGGACCAAGGGGGCCGCCCAGATCCAGGGCCAGCAGGTCTGGCCGCAGCCCGGCAACCCCCACGGGAGTGGGCAGCGCCCGGCAGCACTGACCTACGCCGGCCGGCCGCCCATCGGGCGTGGGGACGACATCGCCCACCACTGCTGCTGCTGCCCTTGCTGTCCCTGCTGCCACTGCCCTCGCTTTTGCCGCTGCCACAGCTGCTGCACCATCTTCTAGCCCAGCCCCTGCCAGGCCGTGGGCTGCTGCAGGGCCCGCCGCGGCCTGGGCGGCCGCAGTGCTGCCCTCCTCCTCGGGGCAGCCACCGGCCCATTGGCACGGGCACTGGCCCCTTCGCACCCTGCACAGAAGCGCCTACCTGCCGAGAAGGCTGACCGCCCAGCTCCAGCCCCTTGCAAGTGGGCCCGGGCACCGGCTGCGATGGCCTGGAGGACAGCTCCACCACCTCCCCCGAGGCCCATGGCCCAGGCAATAAAGCGGAGCAAGCTCTGTTCTGGTTGCTCCCCTTCACTGTTGCGCCCTGGAAGAAGGTCCCGGGCTGCACAACACCGCAGGCCTCAGCCTCTGTGGGACATTCAGGGGCGGGGAAGCCACCCTATGTTGCGGGTCTCAGGTCTGTCCAGAGGCTAGACCAGAGGGGTGGGAGTGTGTCCCCCGCCCTGGACCAGCCAGCCCTGGGTTCCAGCTGCCTTGCGTTCCATAGGGCTGAGGCCAAGGCTGCGAGACAGGTCAGGCAGTGGGTCAGTCGGTAGGAGGATGCTATGCATGGAGCCGGGGTGGGGTGGGGGGAGCCTGAGAGAGGCCTCCAGGAGGAGGGTCACCCTGGCAGGACTGTGGCGGGTGGGACTGACTCTGGCAAGTTTCTGGGAGTAGGAACCCAGGCAGCCAGCACCAGGCCCTGCCCATGCGTGAGTCACTGCCCTACCTCACTGGGGTGTTTTTCTGGTTCCTCATGAAATGTCCAATTCCTCAACATCTGCTGTGTGGCACCCAAGCCATGCTGCTCATCTGCTGTCCTGCCTCCAGGGCCTAGCCCTCCTGAGTGAGGGGAACAGGAAAGGAGCTGGCCGATGAGGCTCCTCGGAGGACAGATCTCCCATCTGTCCAGGCAGCGTAACATGCCTGCCCGGGGGCACGTGTGGGGAGCTAAGCTGCTTGACGCTGGCATCGCCTCACTGCTGGGGGAGGCTGGGATGCCGGGGCAAGGAGCGAGTGGTAAGGCCCGCACTGGGCACTCTGACGTTTCCAGGGCCAGGCAGAGACAGCCAGAGGAGGAAGCGGAGCTGGCCTTGCAGGATGGACGGGTCCTGGTGCCAGCCCTCCTCTGACCCAGGGTGACTGTCCACAAGGCACGACCTAACTCTGGGTGTGGGTAGCTATGTCATTGGTCTGACTGTGCAGGCCCTCAGGTGGGCCAGCTTTCTGGCCCTGGCCCCATGGCCTGCCTCCACCAGAGGATGACCCCACCCAGGACAGCAGCAGAAACCCGATGAACCGGTCAGGGAGGCTGCGGACTGCCGGGGTGGTAGGACTGAGGAGGAGCCCCTCTGGTTCTTGGCTTCCTCCCAGCTGAGCAGTGAGGGTCCTGATCCCATCCTGACCATTCTTGACACACCCCATTCTGCTGTGCCCGCAGTCACAGCCACCGTGCTGGCCCAGGGGCCATAGCCAGGCAGGTGCTAGGGGGGAGGTGGCTTGTAATGCGGGCGACCAGGGCTAGCCACAGTGTGTGAGTGGGGATCTCCATGCCTGTGCTTAAGCACCACCTCGGGACCTTGCGGGGCCGGCCGCTGCCCTGTAATGGGGGCACGACAGACCTAGACCAGGCAGGAGGAAGGTGCTGGGACAAATCAACATGGACACATATGCTGCGATTGAGCTTCGGAAGAGCAGGACACCCCAGGGCTCTGAGCCAGTGAGGGTCCTGGCAGGTCACCTGGAAGGGGTGATGCTTGAGCAGAGAGTTGAAGAAGCATCCCCCAGGTCAAGGCCAGAAGGCTTTCCTAGCGTGAAGTTGGGGGAGCAGGAGAGTAGGGGTGGTGTGGAGGTGGGTCTGGCTGGCCCAGGTAGGGAGAGGGACCATGGTGAGCTGTGAAGCCAGGCCTGGGTGGGGGACTAGTGGAGCTGGGTCCTGGCATGGGGGTGGGAGGTGGGGGGCTTATCTCCTGACGGGTGGGTGGTTCTGGTGGATCCAGTTGCAAGCGCTCTGTGGCTGAAAGGGGAGCCCACGCCTGCCTCCAGCCACCACCTGCCTCCCTGCTGACTTGTCTGTGCTCGGCCAGTAATGCGAGCCCCAAGGAGGGAGCCGCAGGGCGCCCTGGCGCCCTCCCCCCAAGCCCCGGACATGCTCTGGCTGGGCATAGCTGCCCAGCAGAGCAGATGCAGGCAAGAGAGACCTGGGGCTTAGGCAGATGGGGAGTGGGGGGGCCTGGTGCTGAGCAGGAGGGTCATGGAGAGGGACAAAACAGCCGGACGGGCTGCTGCCCAGCCGGCCGCCGACCACCCTCCGCGGCACCACCCACCCTCTGCAGAGGCCCAGGCTCCTGTCCTCTAGGGCAGACTCCTGGGGTCAGGGCCCAACCACACAAGATAGTCTCAGAGGTGGGCAGGGTGGGCAGCAGCTCCCCGCACGCCTCCCCCAGGATGCTGTAGCCAGAGAGTGCCCAGGTCTCCGAGGAGGGGACACCGCTGGGTCCCGGTGGGGTGACTGCATCACCTGCTACTGAGCCTACGGCCTCGCGGGACACCTGCCGCCTCTACTGCGGCCACACCTTCAACCGGGCGTGCGTGCGGCGGCTGGACACTCCGGCCCACGGGCAGTGCTGGGTCCCCTGCCCATGGTGCCACCAGAGCACACCCACACCCCACGGAGGGGTGCATGCTGGACCTCGACCTGGCCGCCCTCCTGGCTGTGAAGGCCGAGCGGGAGCCGTCCCGTGTGGAGCCCCCTGCACCCCCGAGACAGCACTGCCATCGCTCAGCAGCTGGCCAGGCTCTGTCCCACCTTGGGCACCCAGCCCCAACTCCCCTAGTCCAGGTGCTGCAGGGGCCTCTGCTGGCACGCCCCCAGCAGCCCCGAGGTCTGAGTGCTGCTTGCTGCCCCTCACAGCAGGGGAGAGGCTGCCCACAGCGTGTCCCTACCTTGGAACCTCCAACTGCAGCACAGCCAGCCCAGAACAGCCCGGGGGCAGAGCACCCTGTGGGCTGCCCTACACGGACTCCCCCAGACCATAGCCTAAGCTTGGGGGCTGTGCCCCCGGTGCTCTGAGACTCTGCGAGAAGCGGGTGACCTCCTGCTTGTCTTGGCCGGGATTCCTGGGCCTCAAGCTAGCCTGACTGTGTGCAGGAAGAGGGTGCGACTGTCAAGAGTCACCTGCAAGCCCAGCCCAGGCTCGGACTCAGCTCAGACGCCTCCACGGGTCTCTGGCTGCAGGCCAGAGGGTCGGGGCCTGGCCACGTCTGTACCTGCTCATGCTGGAACCCATCTCCCCTTCCCCATAAAAAGTCCCAGAGGTGTGAACCGGAGCAGAGACAGAGCCACCTCCTTCATCCTTGGCTTGCAAAGCATCCCTGTGAAGTTCATTCATTCAACAAAGCCCACTGAGCGTCAGCTCTGTGCTGGGCACCGTCCCGGGAGGGTCTCCTGCAGGCACAAAGTCCCTGTTATGACAGGTGTCCAAGGAGAGGGCCCTGGGCGGGGCTAGCTCTAGGCCCAGAGAGGGTGGGGGCCTGCCTGAGGCAGCACAGCTCAGTGGAGCCGCTCCCCCACGAGGCCTTTTCCCGGTCCTCAGCTTCCTTCTGCCTCACAGTGGCCCGCACACAGACCCTTCTGAGGGGCCAGTGTAGGTGCTGGAGGCTACGGACACAGACCCTCCCCCAGGTCAGGCTGCGACATCCCCGTCCCCATCCAGAAAGGAACTGTCACAGGGTCACTCAGGAGCCTCTGGGGGGGACTGCTGGGCCTGCCCTGGGCAGTGGGTGCCAGGCAGGGAGGGACAAGAAAATTTGCTGAGAGGACACTCAGAAACCTCCTCCTTCTCTGGGGCAAAGTCCCCCAGGAACACAGCGATTGGTGGGCAGCAACTAGACCAGGGTGCTGTGGCCAGCAGGCCCCCTGGGGAGCCCAGGCCCAAGGGGGAGGGGGAGGAGCATTTCCCAGCAGGGGCGGCAGGAAGGGGGCTGACCCCGAGAGGCACCCACGAGCCACAGGGTCAGTCAGGATCATCCTCCTGTGGAAGTGAACAGGATGGGCTGAGTCTGCAGGTCCAGGCAGGGTGGGCAGTGGGCTGGGCAGCAGGGTGGCCTGGGGATGGGCCCCGCCCCCCCAACTTGTAGATGGAGGTGCAAGACCCTCCACCATTACTGCCCACCGCTGGGGTTGAGCCCACTGGGAGCTCTGCTGGGCCCAGCCCTGCCCTGAACCAGATCTGAACTGGATGACTTCAGGGACTGGGGCCCTCCCCACCCACCTAGTGCAAAGGGCTTCCCTCCCACCATCTGATCGGGTAGGGATGACCATAGTAAGGTCTGCAGAGCTTGGGGAAACTTTCCAAGGGCCTCCAGGCCAACCAGCCAGAGCACCAGCATCCTGCCTTGCCCTGGGCGGGCAGCGTGCAGTGTCTGGTCATGTCCCATAGGCGTCTACTCGTGGAAGTCCTGCACGAAGGAACCCATGCCCAGCCCTGCAACAGCCCCGGCCTGGCTCAGGGCCCATCCAGGGAGAAGCCCCACTCTAAGAGGGATGAGCTAGGGGCCTGGAGCTCCTGCCCCAGGGGGATAGTGGGACGCAGACAAGGCAGGCACCTGGGGTTATGACAGGTACCCCTCAGGGGCCTCGACTCCTGGGTAAACATTAATGGGGCTCAGTACACAGCAGGTCATGCGTGCACCCAGCAGATCTTTGACCAGCAGTTGCTCCCGCCCTGTGTCTCCTCCCCGCAGGTGCCCCCTCACTACCCTCACAGGTAGGAGCTTCTAGAACCAGGTGGGGGCCCTGGGACACCAGGACAAGGGCTGGGTGACCTCCTGGCTCAGGGCTTAGGCCCCACCCTGAGCCTCCCCGAGCTGAGGATGAAGGACAGGAGGGAGGGGCGACAGAAAGCTGCCCAGGACCTGGACCCTGGGGACTGGGAGGGAGCTGGGGGAGAAGACTAGACAGGGGATCCAGACCCAGAGGGTCGAAGAAAGGAGCCTTGAGGTGGGATGGGGAGACCCAAGCCCCTTGCCCTGCCCCCATCCCTGGGGGTGCGGGCCTTATCAAGCGGAGACGTCACCGTTTGGTATCAAATGCCAAAGTCTAAGCTGGGACCATCTGCAGTGTCCCTGATGACACCTGATAAGAAGGTCACTGGATTCCCTGCTCCTAGGCACTTCCGGCACCCAGCACCCTGTGCCCTGGGCCACCCACCAGGTCTTCTTCCAGCCAGGACCAGCGAGGGAGCCAGGGAGCCAGGGCCCCCTCGACTCTGCCCCTGAAACTGGACTGGGCTCGCCTGACAACTGCTTGAGGTCACTGTAGCCATTCCCCCCCCCCCTGCCCCCGTAGATGGAGGAAGCGGGAAATCTCCAAGGCCAGCAGGGGTGGGAGGGAAGACAGATCCCCGGTTGGAGGACCCCAGCAAGACCTGGTGGGGCAGCGGGAGGACACGTGTCTGACCTGCCTTTCCCCCCCCAGCAGATCCAGGCTTGGACCTGGGTCTGTCCCTGCCAGAAATCCATGCCGAATTCCCTCACGGATGGCCAGGTCCCCCCCCTTACTCTGGACACAGTTGGCCTGGTGGACCGGAGTCTGGGAAATGCAGGTACCAGGAGCCCCAGGGCACCAGGCCTCAGCCTGCCTCTCTGCTTCCCCGTCCAGCCCCTGATCCGACGCTCTGTGTAAGTGGGGAGGGGGCTCCCGCCCATCTCCCGAAGAGCCCATGGGGGCTCGTGACAATTCCGGTCAGGGCCAGACAAGCTGGAGGCCCCCTTTCCTCTCTGCTTCCTGTTCCTGCCTCTTGCTCCAAACCCCTACACCAGAGTCCCCCCCACGCCCTCTTGCCCCTGCCTGGGAGGATCCTTGGCCCTACTTCACCTTGGCTCCTGCAGGGACCTCTGGTTCTGCCCCAGTCTTGGAAGAGGGGGAAATGGACCCCTGGGCCCTCCCTCAGCTGAAGGACACTGGCCAGTCCTGGACAGGTAGGTCTGGAGGTGCTGGGCAACTGGCCAAATGGGGCTCTGAATTCCCAGGGTCTGAGCGTGGAGAGGTCCTTGGGGAGAGAGAGCGGGAAAGAGGTTGGCCTCGACAGGCCATATAGAAACCTACTGCGCAGACCGCCACCCCAGGGATGCTAGTCCCTCAGCTCAGCTGCCTGTTGTGTCTGGATATGAGAGTCACCCCTGCCCAGCCTGCCCCTCCTTCTCCCTCCTAATGACCATTAGGTTTCTGGGAGGTCCCAGGGGTAGTCGGCTTGGCCATTCTGCAAAGGAACAGAGGAGGGACCCAGACCCTGCCCTGTGCGGGGACAGAGAAGGGGGGCCAAGGCCCTGCCCTGCAGGGAGACAGAGGAAGGGGACTGGGAGGGGTTCCGGGCAGGGTAGGGCTGGGTTGGGGGGCTGGCTGAGGACTGCCCTGTCCTGTGTTCTCAGAGCTCAGCGTGGCCGGCAGGGTGCTCCGGGTGGTCATTGGCTTCCTCAAGGCCTGTGGGCTCCTGGGCAACCTCTATCTTTTCATCTGCTCCCTGGACATCCTCAGCTCTGCCTTCCAACTGCTCAGCAGTGAGTGCCGGCGGTCTGGGGGTGGGGCGGGCAGCCAGTCCTGCTCAGCCTCAGTGCACCTCTCTCTGGACACAGGCAAGATGACTGGAGACATCTTTAAGGACAACGTGGTGCTGTCCAACCCCGTGGCTGGACTGGTCATTGGCGTGCTGGTCACAGTTCTTGTACAGAGCTCCAGCACGTCCTCCTCCATTGTGGTCAGCATGGTGGCCTCCAAATGTGAGTGCCCCCCTCCCCCACCCCGGGCTGGTGGTGGGCGGGCAGAGTGCGGGAAGCTGATGCGGCACCCCCACAGTGCTGACCGTCCAGGCGTGTGTGCCCATCATCATGGGCGTCAACGTGGGCACGTCCATCACCAGCACCCTGGTCTCGATGGCACAGTCAGGGGACCGGGATGAGTTTCGGAGGTGAGTGGGGGGGGCGGGGGGGCAGGGGCTGCGAGCAAGGCCACAGTTGAGCCACCGACCACTGTGCTCCACGTGGCAGGGCCTTTGGCGGCTCGGCCGTCCATGGGATCTTCAACTGGCTCACGGTGCTGATCCTGCTGCCCCTGGAGAGCGCCACAGCCCTGCTGGAGAGGCTCAGCGCCCTGGCTCTGGGCGCCAGCAACCTGCAGCCTGGGGGGCAAGCACCCGACATCCTCAAGGTGTTAACAAAGACTCTCACACACCTGGTCGTGCAGGTGAGGAAAGGTGCTGCCCTCGGGGGGACCTTTGTGCCTGAAAGTGCTGGGGGTCGGGAGTGGGGGGGGCCATGCCCCAGCCCTATCCTGGGCCCTGCACAGCGGGCGGGAGGGCACAGCGGGCTGGGCTGTGGGCATCTGGGTCCCAGGTGAGTCCTGAGGGTCCAGTACATGGTCCCAACCCCTCTGTCCCCCAGCTGGACACTGATAGGATTGCAAGCAGTGCTACAGGCAATGCGACCAACAGCAGCCTCATTAAGCAATGGTGCGGCACCAGGGAGGTGATGGTGAGGTGCCTCTGACCCCCAATCTCCCACCTGCCAGTTGCTCAGTCCCGCCGGCTCTGGGCCCGTCCTGAGCCTGCCCTGCCTCACCTCCCCAGACTCCGTGGAACAGCAGTGACTGTGGAGTGGTCACCTCCGGCCCCTGCCCTGAGAACAACAGCTCTGTCCTGGTGGAGCATCTGCCCTGTGAGGCCCCCCAGCCCCCCAGGCCCCCAGCCCTGTCCCTGTCCCCCCCATGCCCGGCCCCCGGCCCCCCAGGACCCCAGCCCTGTCCCTGTCCCCCCCACACCTGGGCCCCAGACCCCAGCCC